TTATACCTGAAAACACATAATTTTTATAACTGAAAATACATAATTTTTATAACTGAAAATCCTCATGACCGAATGTACAGAGTTATATAATAGAAAACACATAATTTTATACCTGAAAATACATAATCTTTTTTAAAAAGACAAAAAATTCATGTTTCGAATGTACAAAATTTTATACCTGAAAACACATAATTTTATAACAGAATACAAAACAACGTCATTTTGGGAGGCGCATGACGCACATTGCTATGTGCGCCCTGGTGCACGATATAACGATGGGCTCACAGCCTCACACCTGTTATATATGGTTAGCTAGCAACCGCACACTTGAAAAATCTTCTATTTTTTTTCATCTTTATTCTTATTATTTTAAATAAATGACATCATTACCCCCCGTACACTTGAACAATTCTATTTTTTTTTTTCATCTTTATTCTTATTATTTTAAATAAATGACATCATTTAACCCTTCTAATTAAAACATTTTTAATATTTTCTCTTTTCCTATTTTTTTTTTTTGAAAATTCTCTTTTCCTATTTAATTTTGAGAAAAAACATTTTATTTTTCGATTATAAGTTTTACTGGACAACTTTGTTACAAAATGAGCCTTATGAAGTTTTTTATACTTATTTCACATTCTCAGCGGACGGCGGAGATCTACTTAATTGTATGACTATGATTATATCTCTAAAATTCTATACAATCACATGAGTTCTATAATGTTTTATAAGATTCTATATATTTCTATACTTCAAAATGTTTTTTTTTTGTTTGAAGAATACTTCAAAATGTTAAATTTCAATGTATGAACAAACATATTTAAATTTAAAACTATTTCAAATTTATGAATTACATTTATTAACTTCTCAAAAAACTAATTTTACCAAATATTTTTTACTTTTCATTTTTTTTTAAACTTTCAGCTTGCTTTTGAGACAAATTTGCCAAACATAGGATAATAATAATAAGCTATAATAATGTTGGCATTTAATTTCTTGAGGTAGCTAGCCAGCTAACCAATTGATGACATACATACATACATACGTATATAGTCTATAGTCTAATGGTGGCATGCCAGCCAACCAGCCTGGCATGCAATGCCCAGGTAGGTGCTAGCTTCTGATCAACGTGGAACCATGTAAGGTGAACACAATTCTATATTTATAATTACTGAATTATATATATGTTCATAATTATAATAAAGTTATATATTCATAATTTTTGAACTTCATATTCATAATTATTGAACTTTATATTCATAATTACAAAACTCTATGTTCATAATTATAAAGCTAGAGATTCAATAATTGTGATTATAAAGTTATATATTCATAATTTTTGAACTTCATATTCACAATTATTGAATCTCTATATTCATAATTACAGAACTATATGTTCATAATTATGTTTACAACTCTATATTCATAATTATAGAACTATATATTTATAATTTTTGAATTATATATTCATAATTATGAACAGTTCTAGAATCGTATCCACCTGGTTCCACAGGATAATTTGCCGCTTCTGATCTGCTGTATGTACGTGTGACTGGACTGGGCTCATGACATGAATTGAGACAACAACGACAAAACATGATGGACACAATTTTGAATTGTGCCCTTATCAAACACCTATATATGGTTTTTGGCTTTCTTCAAACTCGTCCTTAACTCGCCCCCCACACACACACATATGGACTATCAGATAGTAAAGTATAACATCATCAATCACAATTTAGGAGCAACCTTTCAAAATAAGTCATTCATTATTTACTTATCAATAATTATGTTATGTCAAAATGTGAGAACGTCTGGAATAGGCGAATTCCACCTTGTCACTAGATAATAGGATTGCCAATGAGTCCATCATGGTGTGATTAGGAGTGGATGAAATTAAAGTTCTTCTACATGGACTCTCAATCTCTACTTCATTAGTTGAATTTCATGATATGACAAATGAAGATAAGTTATCTTCATCATGCGAAGTTCAAGAAAAATGTCAATATTAAAATTTTGAGTGAGAGAATAAAAAATAGGGAGTAGAATTTAAGAGTTGAAGTAATAATTTTCAAGAGTTAATTCTCAAATGGTCCGCCGACTATGGCTTTTTAACAAATTGGTCCATTAACTTTTAATTTTTTCAAAGTGGTCCTTCGACTTTTGAATTTTAAGCCAAAATGGTCCTCTGTTAACTTTGGCGTTAAGTTGGTGTTAAAATGAAGGGTAAACTTGAAAATTTAGGATTTGCATTCCAATTTAAAGCAATGTGTGATTCCTTTCAACAGTCAGTGCACATATTTCTTCAAATTGAATTTTTGCTCTCCTAAATATGCAATCAAAATGTGGGATAGTCAACTAGAATGGCAGAAATCATTGCCTTGCATTGGAAAGTTTGTAGATGAAGTTGAAGATGATTTTTTTTTTCGCCTTCAAGATGATTATCCCACATTTTTTTTTTTAGATTTAGGAGAACAAAAACTTAATTTGAAGAAATATGTGTGCATACTGCTGAAAGGAATCGCATATTGTTTTAAATTTGAGTGCAAAATCTAAATTTCTAATTTTGCCCTTCATTTTAACACCAACTTAACACTAAAGCTAACGGAGGACTATTTTAGCTTAATATTCAAAAGTCGAAAGACGACATTGAAAAAATTAAAAGTCAAGGGACTAATTTGAAAAAAAAAAACCATAGTTGAAGACCATTTTAAAAATGAGAAAATTATCAATTTGGTCCCTCGACTATGAGGATTTCACCAATTTGGTCCTTGACTACTAAAATTACTCAACTTGGACCTCAACTATGACATTTTTACCTGATTTGGTCCTAAGTGTTATTTGCAGGTCAAACCTAAAAGGCAATTTTGAGATTTAAAAAAAGTATCTTCATTCTTATTCCCTAAATCTAAGTCATTTGTTTTATATAGATAGGTTATTTGTTTTCAATAGCAGTCGCAGCTTCAATATGCAACCAAAGTGTAGTGAATCATCTTCATCCAGCTATAAGAATCGAATGATGTTCGAAAATGGAGATGCTTATAGCTGGATGAAAATGATGTTGGCACAAGGCAGCAAATTTTTGAACATCATTCGATTATTATAGCTGGATGAAGATGATTCACGGCACTTTGGTTGTATCTTGAAGCTGCGACTGCTATCGAAAACAAATAACCTATCTATATAAAACAAGCGACTTAGATTTATGGAAGAAGAAGGAAGATAGTTTTTTAAAATCTCAGAATTGCCCTTTAAGTTTGACTTGCAAATAACACTTAGGACCAAATCAGGTAAAAATATTATAGTCGAGGACCAAATTGAGTAATTTTGGTAGTCGATGACCAAATTAGTGAAATCCTCATAGTCGAATGATCAAATCGGTAATTTTATCTTTTAAAAATTAACTCTATTTTTCAATTAAGAATAACTTTTTTTTTTTATACAATAACGTCCCACCAACCGTGGTCATACCTAGAGGCGGGCGTTGGCTACTAGCTGGCTGGTGCCTCATTTGTCCGAGTGGGGCATGAAAATCACTCCACCCCTTTGACACTTAATCATTTCCTAAATTACTTATTTTTTAAAAAATAAATTTTAAACTTTAATTAATTTAAAATAAACTAATTATAAAAAAAATAATAAAAAAAAAACTATCTCCGGCCTGAGACTTTTTTTTTTTTAATTTAAATAATTAATTTTTAAAATGTATTTTTAAAAAAATAATTAATTTAGAATGATGACTTGTTGACTTGTTGGAAACCTTCAAATTGAGAGAATTGTTTGAAATTGGTTAGTTTAGGAACCTAATTGTTGGTTTTTTAGGTTCAGTGGCCTAATTAAATTATCATGTACAGTTTGATGGCCTATTTGACATTTATTCCAATTAGATTCTAATATGAGGAATTGATTCTTTGAATTGAGAAAAAAAAATGAAAGAAAGTATAAAACACCAATCATTATTGTGTGGACCATGGTCTACACAAGTTGGGTGGACCATATTTTGTCTACTATAAAATAATGTACATTCAGTAAAAAAATAATGTACATTCAATATAAAAATAATGTATATTGTATACAGGGGATATGCATTATTTTTGTTCTGAGTGTACATTATATTGTATAATATACATTCCGTGCAAAAATAATGTACATTTAATATATTAAAAATGTACTTTTTATTATGGTTCACATAACATTGTGTGGACCATGGTCCATACAATAATTTGCCATAAAACATATACTCCGTATTACTTTTCTTGTAATGAATTATGAGCAAATATCAATTGTGATCCCACGAATATTAACAAATTAACAGTTTTGGTCCACATGTTTAATTTCTACCAATTTTCATTCACGATTATTGTTTTAGTATCAATTTTCATCCACAACTATTGTTTTAGTACCAATTTTCATCCACGACTATTGTTTTAGTGTCAAACTTCATCACGCCGGTCAATCATTCGTTTAAGACATGCTGAAATCTAAAACTTTTAATGGTATTTTTGTCATTTTCAATTTAAGATCCCAATTTAAGCATGAATAATAATATTTAAGCCCTAAGATCGATCACATTTCACAATTTTCTTCATCCTACCTTAATTTGAATATGAAAACTGTGAATTGAGATCGATCTTAGGGCTTAAATCCATTTATTCATGCTCAAATTGGGATCTTAATTTGAAAAAGATTAAGATACCCTCAACAATTTCATATTTCGGCATATATTAAAAGATGGGTGATCGGTACCCTTAATAATTTTATATTTCGGCATATATTATACATATGGTGACCGGTTTGATAAATTTTGACACTAAAATAATAATTGTGGATAAAAATTGATACTAAAACAATAATCGTAAATGAAAATTGATATGAATTAAATATGTGAACCAAAATTGTCATTTTATTAATACTTTAGCATCAAAATTGACATTTACTCAATGAATTACGGAGTATATTTTTGTCGGATTTAACTTAGAGATTCAGTAAAGACAATATTTGAGACAACAAGAAAAAGAACTATGATTTCACTTAAAATATAAAAGCAGAGAGATGGAGTGAATGATTGGTCGGTTCTAAACCGCGAGTTGAGCCCTAGTCGAAATCTGTTTCATTAAACTTCATGGAAGCTGAAGACGATCAGTTCGGATCGATGATGGACGAGATCCACTCGAACGGCGGCGTCGACGACTCTAGTCGCCACCGGCCGATTATAAGCGGCGAACAGCTCGACATCGAGGCGTACGATGCCCTATACAGTGGCCGGACCAAAATCATGCGGCTGCTCTTCATCGCTGATAGATGCAACAACACTTCGATGCAGTTGGAGGCTTTAAGGATGGCGTATGACGAGATTAAGAAGGGCGAGAACACGCAATTATTCCGAGAGGTTGTTCAGAAGATTAACGGACGGTTGGGACCTAATTACGGGCCGGACGCTGGTTGGACTGATTCAGTAGATCGCCGAGCAGAGCAAAGGAAGGAGAAGCTCGAAAATGAGCTCAATGCTTATAGGGTATGGTGCCCTCTCCCCCTTATAATCATGATAAATGTGATTGAATTTGCTACTTGTGCTACTGAGAACTCGTGCAAGCTGTAATGAGCTCAGAATACTGTGATTTTTGTTGGACAAATAAAGCAATGTCATGGTTAACTGGTGTGGAATCAACATCAAAATCATTGTCCCTTGATCACTTTGGTTGATTGCTTGTGTTTATATTGTTCCAGACTTTGCACTCGAGTGTCTTTTTCTTTGATTTTGTGAAAAAAATTTCCATGAAAGCTAGGAACTAAGAAGAGCTTCTTTGGTTGTATGCTAGGGTTAGTGCATGACTGCATGTTATGTTGTCTGTTTCATATCAACTTCCAATAAGTGCTATTTGATGTATTGTGGTTGTCAATTGACATGTAAAGTACAGTTCTCTCATATTGTCCTTACAGACAAATTTGATTAAAGAGAGCATCAGGATGGGATACAATGATTTTGGAGATTTTTATTATGCCCACGGTCAGCTTGGTGAAGCTTTCAAGAATTATGTTCGTACACGGGATTATTGCACAACAGCAAAGCATATAATCCATATGTGCTTGAATGCAATTTTAGTTAGCATTGAGATGGGTCAATTCACACATGTTACAAGCTATGTTAGCAAAGCAGAGCAAAGCCAAGATGCCTTAGACCCTATTACAACTGCTAAACTTCGTTGTGCTGCAGGATTGGCGCACTTAGAGGCCAAAAAGTATAAGCTTGCTGCTCGGAAGGTATGCTTTATATTTCCCCTTGTTGACTGATCTTTTTTCCAAGCATATACTATTTCCATAAGTTTGGTGACTTTACTTTCTTACTTGCATTTGGAAACACTCACCAAGTTCCAATGTAAAGATGATAGTGATTATCAATTTAGCAACATAATGAATTATAGAGGACTTGTTTAACTTGTTGGTTTCACCTCCTTCACCTCTTGCACCCAATTTGAACAGATAGAGCATGGTGTAAAGGGAATTACCCCTGGAATTAACTCTCTTGTGGCATAGCTAAACGTGTAATGTTGAATGGGCAGAGCTAAGCCCATATGTCTTCTTCTCTCTGTGATATAGAAGTATGAATGGATGTAGAGCATGTTTAGCCCAACAAGAAATTCTCTGAAGGGATAGATGTTGATAGCAGTTTTTTAAAAAGAACTTTTTGAAAAAAATTTCAATAGCTTGATTGAGTTAATGTAGAAAGTTACTTTTAGAATAGATAGGTTGTTTGGATACTTAACTTTTATATTAGTGATTGTGTAACAACAAAATACATAAAATTTAAGTTAGAAATTAAAAAGTGTTAGGCTTCAACGAGAACATTTGGAATTTCTGAAGTCTCATTAAATCATTCAATCTTATTAGGAAATAGTTTATTTAAAAGCCTCAGTTTGAGCCCTTTCTCTTACAGGAGGGCTTTTGTCTTATCTTCATTAAAAAGGCTAAGTTGGAAGGTAAAATTGTTTAGTTGTTGGGAGATATTTGGAATGTCAGAAGTGTAATTAAATCATTCAAGCTTATTTCAAGAGCCTCAGTTTGAGGCTTTTCTGTTGTAAGAGGGCTTTCATCACATCTTCCATAAAATGTCTTTTCTTGACAATTAATGTTTTGCCCAACTTTGGCTTTTCTGAATAGATAAGCTCCAAAGTAAGCCAGGCCAATCAGCCTTGTAATAGGCTAATAGCTATCAAGTAGAAAATGAATGGTGGACAATTATTTTTCATTATTTTAGACTGTTTTTATATATTTATTTAACATTGACACATTGTTTCCTGTCGTTCGCAGTTTTTGGAGGTTGGCCAAGACTTGGGGAATAATTACACAGAAGTAATTGCACCCCAAGATGTTGCGACATATGGTGGCCTTTGTGCACTTGCAAGTTTTGACCGAGTGGAACTGAAGGCAAATATACTCTTTTATTTTCTCTTTACTTTATGGACAACTATGCTGATTTAGCTTATCCTTCTTGGATTTTGATTCAACTCGGTAACCATGTGATTTGTCTGGCAGAGCAAAGTTATAGACAACATAAACTTCAGGAATTTTTTAGAGTTGGTACCTGAGGTGCGGGAACTTATCCAAGATTTCTACACAAGGTAAGCTGACTTGTTAAGTTGAATCCTCATATCTGTCTCACCTAGGATGAATTGCTGTTATACTTGGTTTTCTAATGTGGGTTCCTTTTTTATTCGTAAATGCAGTCATTATGCTTCGTGTCTTGAGTACTTAGGAAACTTGAAAGCAAACTTATTGCTCGACATCCATTTACATGACCATGTTGAGACACTGTATAGTCAAATCCGTAACAAAGCTCTCATACAGTACACGCATCCCTTTGTCTCTGTTGATCTGAACATGATGGCCAATGCGTTTAAGACCACTGTTACGGGGTTAGAGAAGGAACTTGAATCCTTAATTACAGACAACCAGATACAGGTAATAACAGACTTGTAATATACTAATATGCATGTTCCCCCGTAGAGCCAATAGATTTGTTGACCATTCAACCTTAATTATTCTATTGTTTTTCTTATTTTCTATCTACTCAAGAATCACAGCATGTTCATGCAGGCTCGAATTGATTCCCACAACAAGATCCTTTATGCACGGCATGCAGATCAGAGAAACGCAACCTTCCAAAGGGTTCTGCAGACCGGTGGTGAATTTGATCGAGATGTGAGAGCCATGCTTTTGAGAGCCAACCTTCTCAAGCACGAGTACAATGCCAGATCATCAAGGAAACATGGAAACATATAATCAATCACTACAATTTGTCAAAAAAAAAATTAAAAAATCCAAGCTTGAGAATGCCAGAGTAGTGTAATACTGTAATTGACATATTTGCTTAGCTTAGCATAATGGTGGTCTTTAATCTTGAAGGATTTGCTTTCTGGGTGGGCACATAGTATCACTGTTCCTGTTCATATAACAAATCGCTGTGCCGGGGCTTGTGTGTAATCCTATGTAGTCATGTTCTGTTTATACACCATCTTGTGTTCTATTTGGATATCTGACTTATCTCTTTTGTGCTGTTCCTTGCTTCCTTTCTGCTATACAACACAGTGCTTACGTTATTGAGCTCTAAGGGAGTGAGTGTTTGGTTCAAGGCACATTTCGAGTTAATGTAACACAAAAAATGAACTAAAATCAAAGTTTTAGAATTTCATGATCTTTAATAATAACTTAAATGTAAAAAATAAAAAATAAAAAATAAAAAGTTTATTCTTGAGCCTTAACTTATTTATAGGCCCGGTTTGGTATAGACAATTTGTTTATTAGTTGATTTTGATTTTTTTATTATTATTATTAGTTGTTTGACTGGTTAAACCATTAATACCAGTTAATATCAATATGAGTATTTGTTTAATTAATATTTTTGTAACAGTTTATTGTTTTAAAATGTTAAAATTCAAAAAGTTATTCAAAATAACGTATTGAATGTAATCATTAACTAATTTAAAAATACTTTTTTACAATCAGTTAATGTTATCAACTAGTCAAATATACTAACTCAATCCGCTAATAACTATCTGTTACACTTTCGGTGAACGACTGAAAGTAAAAATGTTAACTCCTGACCTATTTATGAAAAGTCTTAGACTTGACCTAATTATGAAAAAATCTTAGATTTTAGATAGACTAAAAGGAGAAAAATGTGTACAAAGAGTTGAATAAGAAAGGAATGAAAAAGGTCAAAAGTTTGGACAAATATTTATCAATAGTAATCCTTCAACTTGCCATTTCCACTCATTTATTAAACTCTTGTATACATCTACAGTTCGAACACACACAAACTTCTAAAGTGTATGTGTTTCTTTGCTTAACTTCTACTCTATAAGCTCAGATCTTCCAATTGGGGTATATTATATACACAGAATTTGCGTTTGTACATGATCGGATCTTGAGCAGAGCGCATGTGAATGTGGAATGGGTCATCTGAGTATACATTCGTCGAAGCGGAAGCAGCGGCGGTGGCAGCTGCTGGACTTGGTGTCGGCGGCGATATTCGCCGCCGTCTTTGTTTTCTTCCTCCTCCTCTTCACGCCGCTGGGGGACTCCCTCGCGGCGTCGGGGCGGCAGACGCTGCTCGGCTCATCGGAGGGCGCGCAGCAGCGCAGGCGCCTCGCGGCGCTCATCGAGGCGGGCCACGAGCCCGCCCCGATCGAAGTCTGCTCGCCCGATTTTTCCGACTTCCTGCCCTGCGAGGACCCTAGGACCATCAAGGGCAGCCATTGCCCCGTACATGAAGACTCCCCGCTCTGCTTGATTCCCCTGCCGGAGGGATACCGACCTCCCGTTCAGTGGCCGGAGAGTTTGCACAAGGTGTTTGTTCTTATGCCAAGCTTACTACTTATGCGATCTTTAATTTTGGCTTGAAAGCGTTTTACTGAACTGTGAAAGACACATTGCATAGTTGCATACTGTATCTGAAATGAGTTAGATGCCATTTTTGTCGGTGGAGTTCCTCAATTCAGAGTTCTATATTTTGTCGGTGAAGATGTTCAGTTGAGAATTCTAGTTAAACTGAGTAGTACTAGTTAGCTGAGCTGTCTCAATTTGTTTCCCTGATCTGCAATTAATATTAGATTCCAGATTTAATCTTGGCATGTGATCCTTAAATATATAAAGTAAAGCAAGTATCTTTAGTGATTTGTTCCTTAAGTTTTAATGAACTTCGAAATGATCCTTTTTGTTTGTTGAATTTAGGGATTGAAGTTGTAGTCTTTACTTTGCAGATATGGCATGATAATGTGCCTTATAATAAACTAGCCAGCAGGAAAGTCCACCGAGGATTGATGAAAAAAGAAGGTTCATACATTACCTTTACTGATGGTGGCGCTATGTTCCCGGATGGAGCAAAGAAGTATATTGAGAAACTCAAGCAATATATTCCCATGGCTGGTGGAGTTCTGAGGACAGTTCTTGATATGGGATCTGGGGTATGAATTCACTTGATTCTTTGAGATCCATCGGTTTGACTATATCTGAAACTGTATTGCTCTTTCTGACCGTAGGTTGGGAGCTTTGGCGGTTTCCTACTTGCTGAAGACATGCTGACCCTTTCTTTTGCTCCAAAAGATTCGAGCAAACAACAAATACAATTTGCTTTAGAACGAGGAGTACCGGCGTTTGCTGCTACACTAGGGAATTACAGACTTCCATTTTCTGCTTTTTCATTTGATTTGGTGCATTGTTATCAATGCTCGATTCCTTTTACAGCACATAGTAAGTTTTTTGTTTCTCTGATCATTCTCGATATGCAATCATCTTACTACTGCTACTGCTGCTGGTGGTGGTGGTTGTAACACAAGAATATCACATTGCAGATGCAACATACTTTGTTGAAGTTGATCGGTTACTTCGACCAGGAGCCTACCTTGTCATTTCTGGTCCTCCTGTACAGTGGGCTAAACAAGATAAGGAGTGGGCGGATCTCCAAGCTGTGGCCAGATCGTTGTGTTATGAGCTTATTGCCGTGGATGGTAACACTGCCATCTGGAAGAAGCCTAATGGGGATTCATGTCTTCCAAACCAAAATGAATTTGGGCTTGAATTGTGTGATGACTCTGATGAACCAAGTGTCGCATGGTGATTCTCCTTATACACGTTCTTGTTTATTTACTATTCTTTAGGATACACTCATGAATCCTTCACCTTGATAATTACATAGCTGATGGAAGCTTCTTGAATTTACTGGTTGTGTTTGTACATCTGAAATAAATTGGCAGGTACATCAAGCTGAAAAAATGTGTCAGCAAGACATCTTCTGTGAAAGGAAATTATGCTATTGGGAAAATTCCAATATGGCCGAAGAGGCTGACAAAAGCTTCTTCAAGGGCCACTGCATTAAAATATGGATTGGATGTTTTTGAAGCTGACAATAGAAGATGGGCAAGGAGAGTGGCATACTATAAGAACACATTGAACTTGAAACTAGGAACTCCAGCCATACGAAATGTCATGGACATGAATGCGTTTTTGGGAGGCTTTGCTGCAGCATTATCTTCAGATCCTGTTTGGGTGATGAATGTAATTCCTGCTCGTAAGACTTTGACACTTGATGTCATCTATGATAGAGGCCTTATCGGGGTTTACCATAATTGGTAATTCACTATTGAACTTTTGAAGTCCCCTTAATATAAAGCATTCTTTTGAAATCATGGTATCCATGACGCCACAAAAAAACACCCTGCACCCCCCAGAAGATGTTTGAGAATTTGATTTGATTTATGTTTATTTCATGTTAGGTGTGAACCTTTCTCTACTTACCCTCGGAGTTATGATCTAATTCATGTATCTGCTATTCAATCTCTTACAAAGGATCCTAGTTCTGGCAAGATCAGGTATGTACAATCATTTTACCTGTGTTCATGATTTCTAGTCAACTTCTCAGAATATAATATTTCCACAGACTATCTCTGAAAATTTCAAGTTTAGTCCAGTGTCATCTTAGGAATCCAAAAGTTTAATAATCTAGTGTGACAAGTTATCCTTTGTATGCATCAACTCAACAGAATGGTGACATGTTCATCTGGAAAACCATTTTCTTGCAATATGCAGTAGTAATTGCCTTTTGAAGTTATATGTTGGTTATAGAAGATCTTGAACTTCAAACCGGGTTTGCAGAAACCATACTTGGTGTGATAAACTTTTTTCAGTATTCTTAGTATTACTTTGAGTGGTTGAATCCTTGACATTCTTGCTTCCAATTCTCGGGATACTATCTGGTAAGAGAAATGACTGATCAAATAGCAAGAACTAGGCATCCGATTCTAGCAAGTTGCCCGCCTCTTTCTCTTTAGTCCATTTGTTATCAGCGCTATTCTTCTGGCCAACTCTTGGTGTTTCTATTATTCAAGGGTGGGGTGAAGCAGTGAGGTGCTGTGAAAGTAGTCGATACAATATTGAATATTATGAGTTCCTTGAATAATAGAAACACCAAGAGGACACGAGCCATGTAAAAAAAATCTTATGGTGTCGGAGGTGTTCATATCTCTCTCACTTTTGCAGGTGTAACCTTGTTGATTTGATGGTGGAGATCGATAGAATGTTACGGCCACAAGGAACTGTTGTGATTCGGGATTCACCCCAAGTGATAGAAAGAGTAGAACGAATTGCCCGAGTTGTAAGATGGGGAGCAAGCGTTCATGAGGACGAGCCCGGGTCACATGGAACTGAGAAAATCCTGGTAGCGACAAAGAAGCTCTGGACGCCATCTTCCATATCCAGCTGACATGTACCGTTTCTTCCTTTCTGCTTCGGATTGTTCCCTACCCATGGAAGTCTCGAAAACATGTTCAACCCAATTCTTTTTTGTTGTTCCATTTTAACTTACTCAAACCTAAATGATATAGAATGAAGGTGAAGTGTACAAATACAGAAATACCTTTGTAATTCATATTAGTATATCCTTATAAAAGCATTGTCACAGTAGACAATAGCAAATGCACCATTTCTCTATTCCTCCATTAAGCTCATGTTAATGTTAATCTTTTCTGTATCTTCCAATTTTATTACATACCTTAGAAGGGACATGCATACCAACAATAATGCACCGTTTCTTGATTTGTCTATTAAATCGTGTTAATATTCTCTATATCGTTTTTATTCAGAAAGGGACATGCATACTATCAACGTGTTAATTTTCTATATATCGTTCTACTTTTATCATTTAATACTTTAGTAGGGACCTGTATACTAGCAATGCGTTATTCTTGGATTTGTCTATTATATCGTGTTAATTTTCTTTATATCGTATATCATTCTACTTTTATCGGATAGTTTAGAAGGAACCTGCATATTTGAATTTGTCTATTATATATCGATATATCGTGTTAATCTTCTTTATATCGTTTTAATTTGTCAGATATCTTGAAAGGGACATGTATACTAGCAACGCGTTTATTTTTCTTTATATCGTTCTACTTTTATCGGATTTCCCGGAAGGGACATGCATGGTAGCAATGGAGCAGTAATGAATGCCAAGATCTGTCAAGTTGAATATATCCAGCTCATGGAGTCCTGTTTGCTGCGGCAAAACTCATTTGTATTAAAACCTAAAATTCAATACTGTCTGGAGTGGGGACAAGGCAGAGAAAATTGTGTTTCTGCTTTTGCATTTACTATAACTATAACTTAAAAGACCTCATATATTATTGAACAGATAGTGTCCTAAATAAGTCGGCACGGACTTAGCTCAATGCATGGTTCATTAGGTAATATTTGGAAGAAAAAAATAATATTTGAATCTTAACGGTGGCAGTGTAGGGACTAATGGACTATGCTGAAAATGAACAGATCACTTGTGCGCACCGACATTTGACCTTTGCAGGTGTACTAAACAAAAATTTAAAGACTTGAGACAAAATCCATAACATTTTTTAAGGTATCAATCACACCTGCAGGTACGATAATTAGAAAAAATGCAAGAAATTTTAGGGTTTATATCGGGAGTAATGAGAACTTATTATTCACAATATTTTGATTATACTTTTTGAAGTATACCTTGTATAACAGGTATGTATCGGTGTCGACTGACATGGTAAACTTTGCCTTAAGCGTGGGATCGACATTTATAGCAGCGTGTTAGATGCAGCTGAGAATTTTTCCAAGTCTATTGGCTCGACTCTTGTTGTCCATCGTGATCCAGCATTCATTAGTGTAATAGCAATTGTTCATCGCAGTCATGGAAATTGGAAGGTACACCTAATTTGGTCCCCAGTATACTGTACCAATCGCCACTTTGATTACGGAGTATATATATTAAAAAGAAATTCTAGAATGTCATAATATTAATATTAATAGTAGAAATAAAAACACCTAATAGAGACAATTGATAAATTAGTTATTAATTTAACTGTAAAGTCAGAGATTTCATTGAATTTATTTTAGTCTTGTAATAGTAAATATAACATATGCTGAAAATTATAAAAGAAAAACCGGCAAAATAGGATGATGGGTGCACTTTTACATATTAACAAGTGCACGTTAGGCTATCCTCTTTCTATAATAGAAGGTAATGTGGATTTTTATTTTATTTTTTGTTTTTAGCTTATGTGACTCGCAAGCTTACTATAATAGCAAACTCGCAATTAACTTTTATTTTCTTTTTTATTTGTTATTTTATTATTACATTTATAATATAAAATGCAAGTGGGATCACTTTTAAAAATGAGAGAGTATTGCAAGAATGTAAAGAAAATAGTGAATAATTTACAAATTTGATGATGTTGAAGTGGAAGTAGAATCCACTCTTAAAAGTGGGAGAGTATTGCATGAAATAATGATAGTCGTATAGTTTTGTGCGGTGTATATCCACACTTTTTTACAAAAATACTTGTTACAATAAGTTTCTTAATTTATCTGCTCTACTTATGATTTTTTAATCCTTTGATATACTAAAAACAATATATTACTCCATATTAAAGTGACTGATTTTACCAGTAATGTAAAAATATATTATTATTTAACAATCAATTGTCAATAAAAAATAAAATTACATGGATTGAATTTTTTCACAATCTAACATAACAATAAAATTATTTTTATTCACATTTTGTCACCTCTGATCCACGTAATTTGATCCGTCTATCAAATATAATATTCCGTAATACCCAAAATTCCTAAAATTAATTGGTTATGGGAAATTGTGATGCCATGGTTTGTTTTTAACTATTTCATACAAGGAGGGTGGTCGACACTGAAAAATGGAATTTTTGACCAAAAAAATGTGTACAACATGAAACCTAACCAAAAGAGTCAAACATTGCGTTCACATATTCAAGAATTGGCCTTTTCACCAGTAAATGCTTCTTAAATGTGACACATCACTCATGTTCTTATCTAACTACTTTGACATTGTAGCCTTTGGTTTGATTCATTCATTCAACTCTTGACTCTCTCATCATCGAACATGTCAAACCTTTTACATATTCCTTCTAGTTGAGAAAAGAGAAGAGGCCCGCACGGGCTTAGCTCAATGGTTCAGTTGGACAGTATTTGAAAGAAGAGACAAAGATTCAAACCTCAGCGGCCACAGTGTGGGAAGGGGGCCCTTAGGGTTGGGGAATCAACCTTTTGAAAGAAGAAAAGAGAACAGCCACGTGCATTAATCGGGAATGAGACGTCTTATTTAAGATTTTTTTTTCTGAGCTGAAAGGTGGGATTCGATTTTTGTCACGAACATTAGGAGTGTGTTTGAATTGGGCTCATTGTACACAGGTTAAATTGGTTTGATTTATCTCATCATAGACTTGGAGGACGGGTTCATAAATCCATAAGAGTCGAGATATATTTTGGTGAAGCGGAAAAATCTAGATTATGGAAATAAAATAAAATAAAAAATTAATGGGGGGGACTGCTTGAATCTGTTCTACCAAAGCCTTGTACGGTGGGAAAGAGTAGATGGAAGACTTTGACCTCTATCACTTTGAATTATGTGGAAATTCTTTAATAATTACAATAAGAGAATTTAAGAAAGAAAGAAAAAAAAAGAGTGGTGTTGAGAGAAAATCAATGTTTATAATATTGAGTACAATGATTTATGTTATTCTTTTGTTGTATTTGGTATTATTAAAATTAGTGTTAATGATAAGTGGTACAATGTTAATTACTTTGTGGTCTAAAGACACGAAATGACTCTTCTAAATGGGAAATCATGGATTCGATCCACTTAGATACTATTGGTCCTGTAAAACATCTCTAAAATAAATACATAAAATTTAGTTTTTTTTTTTTTTTTTTTTTGTATATAAGAAAAAAAAAAAGTTGTAATAGAGATATATATGCTCCTTTTTTTTGAAGAAAGATTATATATGCTCCTATTGTCTCATATATATCATCATGGTTGATTAGGCACACATAACAAACAATTTTCTCAATAAATTTTTCTTGGTACAACACTCGAGCTACACCACAAAGTCAATCATAAATAATCCATCTATCTAATTCGATTGAATTGACTCATATTGTGTGTCACACATTAAAATAATAATACTATCGGGGAGCTTTCCATTTTGTATTAATTAATTTTATACATGAAATAGTCTTGCTATAGTGGTATTGGTCTCTATCTGTTTCGATCAATCTACAACATAGCAGTGTATGCAGGCAACCTTAATTTTCTTGTTAAATTGACATGTTTGAGGAAAATATTAATTGTGGTTTATTAATTGTGGTTTATGAGAAGCACACGCAAAGCACTGCTTTTGTTTCATTACTAAAATGGTACAAATAATTATAGATGCGCTTTGTGTTTTGGGCAACACATGACATGTGAAATGAGTCAAAGTGCTTCTCTATATATTCAAGATTTTGGTTATTTAGGGCAACCTTATATTCGGCATCAGCCGGGTTGACCGAGTTCAGTCCTTGTTCGATTCGAGACGTGAGATTATGGCTTATCATAGATGAATGTAGTTAAACGGTTAATGACCACTTACTTATCACCGATTTTAAGTAGGATATGATAACCAATAACCAAAGAACTATGTGGTTTAGCGTGTTTGACTTACAACAGTCACAAGATCGGTGACCCTTTGAGAAGTAAGCATAATGCAGCGACGCAACGCTGAGATCCATCACCTTAGTCAGGTTTGTTTAAATCGTTTTTGGCATTTTCAATTTGAGTTGGTCAGCTATAACTAAGTTAAACTGGTTTACTTTATTATAATTATTTGTTGGTTAGAATCACAATGTAAGATTCACTCACAATGAGCCGTTAGATAGCGACTGCGAACTTTATCGTAAATCAAAGAATTTTGTTGTTTTTATTTTCATAAGCGATAATCTAGACCGTTTATGTTTTAATATGTTCAAAATGTTTACCTTTTTTACTTGTTAAATAGGTTGTGATTATATTGTAAGTCAGTTGCCAGGACTATGTGGTCCAATGGTACCCGGGTTGGACTTCCATTAGGAAGGTTGTGAGTTCAAGTCTCAGTGGAGGCGTTATTAGCTCTTTGTGTTTCAGTAGGTTGAGAAAGTATATGAACAGATACTACAATGTAATAGAGCTAGTAGCATTCAAAAAAAAAAAAAAATATATTGTAAGTCAGTTTTGATTGACTGACTTTTTATTTGCTCATAATTTGTACGGTAGTAAAAATTAAGCTAATTATTGAAATGTCCAGAATAGCTTACACTTTTAACATATTTTGGACTCATTCATTATAAGATCAATTAAGATTTAGCTCCGCTCAAGTCGGATTTTTAAAGCTTGATTTCACTTTTAATATAATATCTAGTCTAAGATTTAGGTCACACATATAATAATATCTTTTGATGTTATAATTGTATTATTTTTTTATGATAAAGTTCTGGGTTGTCCATTCATTGCAAAATATATATTTAAAAAAAAATTTAAACCATAATTTGACAGATCAAAATTGTCTATATATGAAGTATAGTGTAGAGTAGAAGTTGAAAGAGTAGGACAGAGTTGGGGATGGATCTGAATAAGTGATGTATAGAAATGGGTCGAACTGAAAGCAGCAATAAGAGCTGTCCTTCAATAATTGGGCCTACCATCAACAAATCATGTGTGAGGGCCCTCCTTCTACTACCCAATCTTC